TACAGTTGCTCTAAAAACTAAGAAATTGAAAGGTAAGTCAGAGGAAATAATTTCAAATAACCACTACATACTTCTATCTGTAAAAAACATATGTTGTGATTATTTTTGCATTATTTACGATAGTTTAAAAAACCTTGAGTGTCATTGGTCTATCGTCCAGACATATGGACCTTCTCTATTCTATCCAAGTTGATCTCAGGTCAGTATAAATGCCCAAATACACTGAGTCCTGTCAATAGCAGGTACATATTACTTTAGGATGGCTGTCATGTTGGGTGGCTGTGGCTCAGTGGGTAGTGTGCTGGACTTCGAATCAGGGGGTACCAAGTTCGAGTCCCACTGCAGTCAGCATGTCGTTGTGTCCCTGGGCAAGACACTTTGCTCCTGTGGGGATTGTCCACAGTACTGAATGTATGTAAGTCGCTTTGGATAAAAGCATCTTACAAATGACATGTAATGTAATGTTCTGAAATGATTGCCGATGACGGACAGACTTTCTTATGAGGTGGAACATACAGAGAATTTCTGTCCATAAACTATAAATCTAAAATAAGAAATTCAAAGAGAATGTCAGAGCTGCAGTTTCTTAAAGAGGATTTCTCTTCTGAAGCAGCTCCACAGTCTGAGCCGAGAACAGAAACCCTGAGGAGACGACTGGTCTTTTTTCTGCTCCGACTCCTGGAGATCTCCTCGAGTCTTTTTACATCAAACATATCTGTGGTGTCTAGACTCACATTCATCATATCTGGTGTTTTTGTATAGCCTACCTACTGTTTACCTCACATCTTCTGCTTTCTCAATCCGTTCAATCAACCAACACATGCTGTGTTTCAATGTAATCACTTCCCTTAGCACACTGTTTGTCGTACACTGTAAACACGTGGACATGATGTGAATTTCAACCACGTTGTGTTGTTAAAATATTTAAAAAATGACCCAGAAATGTGGCTTTCATTAGCATAGTGCTGTGTTACTGGACTAACTGCAACTTCCGTTACAAAGTGGTCGTTGAGTGCAATACGTTTTTTATTTTATGTCTTTATTTAAAACACTAAAACAATATGAACAGACACTTTTGTACACCGGGGAGTTTATTCATGTCCTTTTAGAAAATCAAATAAAACGTCTTTCCTTTTTCATGTTGTCCCGTAAGGTGCCTTAAGTTCAGAGGTGGGAAGTAACTTAGTACATTTACTCAAGTACTTGTACTTTACTTGAGTATTTCCATTGTATGCTACTCAGTACTTCTACTCCACTACAGTTCAGAGGTAAATGGTGTACTTTGACTCCACTACATGTATTTAATACCTTTAGTTACTTTACAGATGTGGATGAATGATGTGAAATATAATCAAGTGTTAAATCAGACTTTAGTTCCACCTGGAGTAAATCCACAAGCTACCCTGCAGTATACAAAGTCATTCAAACTAGCTGCACCTTTACCAGCTTTGAGAACACTTTAATGATCAATCATTATAAAACATATCATATATATTATTCTGAAATGGACCAATCTGCACAATCACTACTTTTACTGTCGCTACTTTCACTATATTTTGATGAGAATACTTTTCTACTTTTACTTGAGGAACATTTTGAATGCAGGACTTTTACTGAAACAGAGTATTCCTACACTCTGGTACTTCTACTTTTACTCAAGTCCAAGACCTGAGTACTTCTACTTTTACTTAAGTACAAGATCTGAGTACTTCTCGTCACCTCTGCATAAGTTCGATAACATAACGATCAAAGCAGGTTTTGATTCGGACCATTTTGATTTGTGAATGTGATATTTCCCAATAATAGTTTGAATCTGAATAATATAGTTCATAGGGTTATCAATCCCATAGAAAACTGAATACAGTATCACATCAAATAAATGAATGTGTAGAATATATTATACCTGATTAAGCCTGAAACTAATACAATTATAGTTATGAGTGAACCATATGGTATAGTGCATTTGACCAGACTTTACAATGGGACGCCTTTATGTTACTAGCTTACAGAGAGGTGGGAAGTAGTGGAGTACAAATACTTCGTTACTGAACTTAAGTACATTTTTCTGGTATCAGTACTTTCCGACAACTTATTTTTCTGATGACTTTTTACTTTGACTTCTTACATTTTGAACCCAAATACCTGTACTTTCTACTTCTTACATGTTGAACCCAAATACCTGTACTTTCTACTTCTTACATTTTGAACACAAATACCTGTACTTTCTACTTCTTACATGTTGAACACAAATACCTGTACTTTCTACTTCTTACATGTTGAACACAAATACCTGTACTTTCTACTTCTTACATGTTGAACACAAATACCTGTACTTTCTACTTCTTACATGTTGAACCCAAATACCTGTACTTTCTACTTCTTACATGTTGAACACAAATACCTGTACTTTCTACTTCTTACATGTTGAACCCAAATACCTGTACTTTCTACTTCTTACATTTTGAACACAAATACCTGTACTTTCTACTTCTTACATGTTTAACACAAATACCTGTACTTTCTACTTCTTACATTTCCCAAACAGGCTGGTTCCTTTAGTTTGAATGTGTGTTTGGTGGCGTGATCATTATTATTTAGAGTCATTGCGTGCCTATTGATTTGAACACGATCCGTGTCTCCATCATTTCCTGGTCTTCTCTAAAGAAGAAGGACCAATGAAAACGTTGTCATGTTGCCGTTGTTCAGCATGGAAACATTCATTAGCTAACAATGACATTATTGTTCTATTAATATAAAGGGAGGTCAGGTACTCTTTAAAACAGCTGCTAGTTATGGGTACTTTTTACTGAAGTACATTTCAAAGCCCTCTTTACTTTGACTTGAGTAAAGAAGTTTAGTCAGTACTTCTACTTTCACCAGAGTATTTTTAAACACGAGTATCTGTACTTCTACTTGAGTAAAGGATGTGTGTACTTTTGCCATCTCTGAGCTGACAGATGTTCGCAAACCGAGACACAGCATTTGTGTTACAGCTTCCCAGCTCCTCAAACAACTTGCATTAACTAGAAGATGGATAAATGTACAGCTGCTTCTATGTTTGTTTCGTTTCTTGTGGAGTTAACGTGCCCTGTAGTGCTCTGACTAACCAGCAGACTATAACAGCAGGCAGTCGCAGCACAAAATCATTAGATGTGAAATTACAGCCGGCTGCTGCTCTGATAATGTCTGCTTGTGTCTGACAGTCAGACGGCTGATATCCATCATTAAAGGCTCCAGTAGTTCTGAGCGAGAGGAAGAGTCTCCAAACTCTGAGATAGATGGGAAACAACTCATATAATCCCATAAATGATTGGCTTTGCAGACAGACGAGAGGCTCCAATCACAGCCTTTTAGGACTGAGAAAACGTCGGATTGATGAAGTGCATTCCCGTATATTATACATTTTTCATAAACTCAGTACGTCAAGAGTTAGAGAAATAATGGTCAAGTAGAATAAAAAATTATGTAATCCTTAAAGGCAAATTGTACCTGTGTAGCTTGATCATGTTTGCCTCGTTTAAGTCTCTAATGATCAAGTATTGAATACTTTTGGGTGTTAAAGTTATGTTTAAGCAAAAAACATTTTCTAAATCAAACAATGAATGTGTTATTTGATAGAATAATCACCAGATCAATACAAAAAAGAGGACATAATTGCTCTTAAAAAGTTAAAATGTACAAATATTTATATTCAAATGTACACATTTGTTTTATTATCTTAATTAAAATGTCTCAATGTCACATGTTAGTACGCTAGGCTTCCACTCCCACTGCTATTTATTCATTTGTACTTTATTATTTGCCCTACTTGTTTGTCTGTCTGTCCTTACACCATGTAAAGCGGTCTTGGGTAGAAAGGCGCTATAAAAATGTAATCTATTATTATTATTATTAGGCTACTTCTACTCTGACTGAAAGCTCAGACTAACAGCAGGCACCAATGTATTCCCCAAAGATATTGAAGTGACTTTATTTTGTATTCATTGATTGTTGTGCTTTTATTTAGGTCTTAATGTGTGAATATGTATAAATGTGTCTTTGATTGTGTATATATAGGTATACACATGTTTTTAATATATATTTGTTTTTGTATTCGGGATTGTGGGAAACGGTATTTCGATCTCTCTCTCTCTGTGTACACAAACTGAAAAGATTGGCAATAAAGTTGACTTTCACTTTTGACTTGACTAAAGGCAGTATTACTCAAACTTTAGTTTTCAAGGCATAGAAGACCCTAACGGCCCGTCCACACAGCAGCGTTAAAAAAATCTTGAAACGCTTCTGCCCATTCACTTTGAATGGGGTGACGTCACTTTGCCTCACTTTTCGCCGAACTGCATTGTGGGAAGCAGAGCGGAGATTTTCAGGATTTTCAGGATTCAAAGTTGAGCAATGTTCAACTTTTGAAGCTGAGGTGGAAGCGTCAGCCAATCAAATCCCGTGTATGCAAATCTGACAGTTCAAGCGCTAGCCAATCAAACCGCGTGTATGCTGGGAGAGACATACCGCAGGTCATTTCCTCATATTCCAAAAAATGGAGGAGAAATTAGCGGTAGGGAATCACCCGGTGCTTTACGACCAGTCCCTATTTACCTACCGGGATACAAACCGGAGGAGCCAGGCATGGAGGGAGGTGGCAGAGACAGTGGTAGGTTTTCGCCTGTTTGGGGAGTTTATATCCAGTTTACTTCAAACTTTTTTGCTTCGTATGTCGGGGGCGGGAGATTCATGCGATTGGTTGTTGGTCGCCTTGCTCGCAAAAAATCCCCAAGCTTCAGATACGCCCACCTCCAAGATTTTTTTAACGCTGCTGTGTGGACGGGCCGTAAGCGGCAGAAGGTCTCAGGGTTATTTACATCACGTATTAAGAGGAAAACATGTGTTTCTCACCCCTAACACCGCCATGCGTCGGCTGGGGGGGGGTGCAGCGGCCCGGCTCTTCCTGCGGTTGTGCGGCCGACAGTGTTAGCTCCTCATCATGGAGAGACTCTCATTGGAGCCTGGAACAGAGAGAGAAAGAAAGAGACACAGCTGTTAGAGGGAGATGTATTCTCAAATCACAATGGTGTTGTTAAAATCAGAGATTCTGGTTTAGCAATATCAAAAGTATTGATAAAGTACTTTTCGGAAAGAATACGGTATTTCGATCTCTCTGTCTGTACACACAAACTGAAAGATTGACAATAAAGTTGACTTTGACCAGTTCAGAATTGACGGGGTTCAACAATTCAGAAAAAAACATTCATTGGTTGTTCCCCAGAAGAAAAAATCAATTCAACAGCACTCTTTGATGAACCAAGCAAACTGGCCCAATACCAAACCGTTTCAACTCCTCTAGACAAAACCATTCATACTTTCGTCGTTTTCTGTACCCAAAAAAAGACAATTGTATACTTTTCCTTGCAGCCAATCACTGCAAACGCTCTCTGTGCTTCCATAGCAAAACAAACAGGAGGGTTGGTGGTGGCATTTGGCACAACTGAATGTTTCTATTCACATGATGTGTAGAAAATGAAGTATAATATAGTTAAGGCCATCAAATTAAGTGTTCTATTTAGAGATGTCCCGATCCGATCACGTGATCGGGGATCGGAGCCGATCACGTGATTTTCAAAAGATCGGAATCGAGAGAAAAAAATCGGGGATCGGGATTTTTTTTTTTTTTTTTTTAATAAAATATTTTTATTATTTTATTTAATGTTACAAAACAAAAATGACCATGTTCACGTCTTAAAGTCATCCTGAGGCCTTAGTTTTGGTTTAAAATGACACAACATCATGTATGTGTAGCTTCTTTTGGGCTTGTTTTCATAGACCTGGTTGCTTATTTCTCTCAAATCTGGCAACAGAGTGGGCAGTGTCTAATAGTAGCAGTAAGCTAACGAGAGGCTACGTTCAGCTGGTGCCTCGGGGGTCGGGACAGAGAAAATGTCAGGAGTTTGGAAGTATTATAAAATTGAAAGCGAAGGCAGTGTAACAGCCAGATGCAATGTTTGCAAGGCGGAGGTTCCGCGTGCTGGAAAGAACAGAGCTACGTTCAACACGACCAATCTAATACGCCACCTGAGAAACAAACACCAACAACAACACGACGAGTACACAGCGGCCACTCAGGTAACGGCACTGAAACAACCGACACTTTCAGAGACTTTTAAAAGGAAAGAGAAACTGCCCCAGAACAGTGAAAAGGCCAAAAAAATAACAGCCAAGATAGCTGAATTCATCGCGTTGGATGACCAGCCGTTATCTGTGGTGGAGAACGTGGGGTTTAAGGGACAACTTGAATGCTTTTCTCCTTTTTTTTCTCTTAATGCATTGCATAAAGATCGGATCGGGAAAAATCGGTATCGGCAGATTGTCAAAATCAAATGATCGGAATCGGATCGGGAGCAAAAAAAGGTGATCGGGACATCCCTAGTTCTATTGGTAGTGGTATAACTTTCAGGGTACTGGTAGTGGTGTACTAATATCGTACATTTGTTAGACGATGCCCAGCACTGCCACAAGTAGTTGATTAGCCTAAATCAGACCAAAAACTGGACTGGCTCTGTACAAACGTGCACATTAACAAAAAACGTCCATAGGTTTGTTTCATAAGGGTCATGCACTGAGCTGTTTCTTGGCCTTGGGCAGCACAAGAGCTGAAACAAAATATTTAGTTTGCAACATAAAACCCCAATAAAATACCAAATTGCAGTTATGACATATCACATTTTTTGCACATTAAATACAGAAGAAATAGGGAGTTCATTTGTGAGCTTTAGAGGCAGACGTTGTTACATTTATCAAAGCTGTTTCCAGTCATTTCCAAACTTAGTCCTCTCATTTAACTCCCAGCTAAAAAGAGATCAATGATTTCCAAACACATGGGACTTTTTGCTTTATTAAAATAACTTTGAACAAAAAATAAACCTACCAAGAGTCAAACGGCCATAGAAGCTCAAAGGAATACATCCTGCACTGAACCACCCCCACTGTTTGACTCAGGAGGAAAATGCCAAGCTATGAAAGAGAGAACACAAGAAGATGATCTCATGTATTCAAAGCAAAAGTTAAATACTGAACACAGTGTTTCTGTCCTCCACAGAGGGCAGACACTTCAGCCTTGACTCGTGCTGCCACCACGTGTGTGATTCATGATGTAATTGTTGGAGTCCGACCACTCACAGAGGGGGAAGAGCAAGGAGAACACCTACCACTGTCTCATCCTCCAAACTAACACACACACACACAGAGTCTACCAGCCTGCCTCTGTCTGCTCATCAGACCGTGAAATTAGCCCAGTTAGTCGATAGAGATGAAATGTGGCGAGGTCTGATGAGGACACACACACAAACACACACACTGTACTGCTGAGGAAACACACACACACAGTACTGCTGAGGACACAGTCACTGTACTGCTGAGGACACACACACACACACACACACACAGTACTGCTGAGGACACAGTCACTGTACTGCTGAGGACACAGTCACTGTACTGCTGAGGACACAGTCACTGTTCTGCTGAGGACACACACTCTGTAGTGCTGAGGACAAACACACACACTCTGTACTGCTGAGGACACAAGCACACACACACTGTACTGCTGAGGAAACACACACACACACAGTACTGCTAAGGACACAGTCACTGTTCTGCTGAGGACACACACACACTGTACTGCTGAGGACACACACACTCACTCTGTACTGCTGAGAACAAACACACTCACTCTGTACTGCTGAGAACAAACACACTCACTCTGTACTGCTGAGGACACACACACACTGTACTGCTGAGGACACACACACTCACTCTGTACTAGGGATGCTCCGATCGATCGGCCGCCGATCGATATCGGCCGATACTCACTCTCTGCCGATCGATCGGTGCTCTCGCAAAACTATGACGTAAAATACATGACACTTTTCTCTGTGCGTGGCAAAACAAGCTCACCAAAATGGCTTCACCAGTCTGGCAGTATTTTAAGGTGTCCGAAAAAGACAGCAAAATAGCGGTATGCAGCGTGTGTGTGAAGCAGAAATCCTGCTGCTCCGCCCGCTGTGACGGACCGGTGAGCGGAGCAGAACACACATTAAGAGTTAGACCTAACGCACTGAGCCATTTTATCTACCTCTGGAACAAGCTAAACTAGTTATAAATATATTTATTCTTCACTGTCGGGTCGCTCATTACTGGATCAGCGAGCTGCATGAGACGATACTCACGGGCTGTCAGGAGAGGGAGAGAGGGGGAGAGAGAGGGAGAGAGGGAGAGAGGGGGAGAGGAAAAGAGAGCGCTTCCGCTCATTTCTCCCGTGTTATTATCCAAAGTTAATGTAAACTTGAATAATGTACTTCACTTCATTTGAATGTAATAATTATGTTGGTTGGTTGGTTGTTGTTTGTGGAAGCTCAGTGAATGAGCCCCATTAACTGAGTTTTAAACATCACTTTAAATGGAAGATCCCCATAGGCCCCGCCCACTCGATCGGATCGGCCGATACTGATTCCGGCGATCGCCCCCAAAATTGGCGATCGGAGCATCCCTTCTCTGTACTAATGAGGACACACACTGTTCTGCTGAGGACACACACACTCACTCTGTACTGCTGAGGACACACACACACTCTGTACTGCTGAGGACACACACGGACACACACACTGTACTGTAAAGGACGCACACTCTGTACTTTTGAGGACACACACACTGTAATGCTGAGGACACAAGCACACTCACTCTGTACTGCTTAGGACAAACACACTCACTCTGTACTGCTGAGGACACACTCACTCTGTATTGCTGAGGACACAGTCACTGTACTGCTGAGGACACACACACTCTGTACTGCTGCGGACAAACACACTCACTCTGTACTGCTGAGGACACACTCACTCTGTATTGCTGAGGACACAGTCACTGTACTGCTGAGGACACACACACTCTGTACTGCTGCGGACAAACACACTCACTCTGTACTGCTGAGGACACACTCACTCTGTATTGCTGAGGACACAGTCACTTTACTGCTGAGAACACACACACTCTGTACTGCTGCGGACAAACACACACACACTGTACTGTAAAGGATGCACACTCTGTACTTTTGAGGACACACACTGTAATGCTGAGGACACAAACACACACACACACATACTTTACTGCTGAGGACACACACACACAGTACTGCTAAAGACACACACACACACACACACACACACACACACACACACACACACACACACACACACACACACACACACACACACACACACACACACACACACACACACACACACACACACACACACACACACACACACACACACACACACCACACACACACACACACACACACACACACACACACACACACACACACACACACACACACACACACACACACACACACACACACACACACACAACACACACACACACACTCCTGCTGCCTGTTAGTTGCTGGGCTTCACACAGATGTTTTCTGGCGTGACGCCTCCGTTTCATTTTGTGCCGTGTTGGGGTTGATTTGAGGTCATGTTCACACCGAGGAGACTGAGGAGGGTTTCCTCTTCCTGTTGGTCTGCCCTGACAGGTGTGGGAACAAAAACTGTCTGCACTAACAGCGGGAAACAACCCCGAGATGATGAAGGGTGAGAGGATGAGGAGACAGATGTTGACGTCTGCTGTCATTCTGTTGCTTGTGCTTGAAAAGCTCAACGTGTACAAAGGGCAGCTGCCAGATCAACATAAGTGAAAAAAGCAAGAATAAAACAAGCAAGAAACGGTCATTTGATAATTACAAATCTCTCTAAATAAACAAAACCAGCTCCTGATTGGACTCCCTTGCGTCATGTTTTGCCTTGTGGGGATACTAGCAAATGGTTAGATCAACTTAATAAAATGTTTTTGGGCTTAAAAATGTATTAATCTGAAGAATTAACAGAAATAACCTCCATGACATCTTGCAATAGCATCAGACAAGCAAACAACAACAAAATCGGGCCACAGGCGT